TGTGTAAGCTATTTTATGGATTAAAGCATTCAAATTTCTATTTACAACAAATATTTAAAAAATCTATATCATTTTGAAATTTATCTCTTTCTTGAAAATAACTCTTTAGGATGTTCTCTTGTAAGTCCAATTTGTTTTATCAGCATTGGACAATTGACAAATAAATTATATGAAAGTATAATGTTAATATAATCCCTGAAACTATACTTACTAATCTGCATCTGTGACCAATCCAAGTTCAGCAAGAACATCTTGTAACAAATTGGCAGAAATAAAATTGTATACTTCAGGATCGAATTTTCTAAAAACTCTCTTTGCTTGATCTGCAGGTGTCTCAGGACCGACTAGCCTTTTTTCAGTAGAGAATAGCACACTCAAATGAGTTTCTGAACCCAACACCCAAATGGGATGTGATGGAGACTTTAGAAAAGTTCCCACTTCGCAATAACGTAAATGCTCAAGAAGAGCAAGAAATCCTACTGGATTTTGTTTATCTATCCCTCGTAATTCTGCAATTAAAAAATTACTTGTACGTTAATAGTATTACATATAACACAAATTAATTCAATAACAGTAGCCACAAATATTAGACGATTGCACCTGCTCATATCATAGAGTAGGTGTTTATGATGGAGTTTAAGAACAGATGCTTCATAAACAAAACGTATTCTAATTCTTTTATTGTTATTTTTCATTTTGTGTTACAGTAACTAAAGTCTCAGTGCATAAATACAAACCTTTAAATGACCTTGATAAAAAAACAATACAATAAATACAATCAGCAAAAGTGTACAATAAATTTAATCACCTTTCCCCGAGGTTTTTACCTTTGTATAAAATGTTTTATGAAGATTTCCTTGAAATCTATCGATATTGTATGTGTCACGAAATAATTTAAGGGGGGAGACTTGCAGAACGGGTCGAAATCAAAATTTTTTGTTTGCATAAATCAATAGTAATACATCTGGAAAATATGTATGTCCGTGAAGTTGTAAACTGAAATTCGAAAGTGTTAATAAGACTACAACAGATTTCATAGCTACAAGGCAATTTGTTGTGAATCCTTGTAATGCCGATTTTCAAGTGTGAAAAGTGAGTGTGTTGGTCACGTTGAAAAACTCGAAGTACTTCGGAATGTAAAACAAAAACATAAGCAAAAAAAAAACTTTGGAGTAAAGGTGAATTAATATATGTTTTTATAAAAAACTGACAAATTATTACGACTTAACAATAAGGAGAAATGTTAACTCCGCTGAAGAAATGGCGAAATTGAAACTCAATACACATATATTGGGGAGCAATACATCTTTTTCATCGACACTTACGACGCGGAGCGGCTGGAAAGACAGGAACGTCGTAGTTTAAATATAACTAAGGAGGATCAGACATTAACAATTTGAACAATAAGAATTTTTCGAGGAAACAGAACAGTTCCTAAAACAGTTCCTGAAACAGTTTCTAAAAATTCTTACTTGTTAATACCTAAAACTTTAAATACGTTTTTTTCGAAACGATTTTCTTCAAATTAGCGTGAAGCATAACTCAAAAGACATTCAATCAATTGACTTGTCCCTGTGCGAATATGTAGATTAATATGTTCCGCTCGGGATGAACCTACATTTTTAATGATATTATTAATTTTAATTACTTTCATTGCATGATGAAGATGAAAATTTTTCGTCAAAATTGCCACTTTTTTTTCAACGTGTCGCCATTTTATTTTGCATCTTTTTTTGCATATTTAGGTTCATCCATAGCGTAATTTCATAAAGAACAGAAAACTCTGAATTTTTTATTTTCAATCATCAGTCCTTTTCCAGCTCCTTGTGACGCTAATTTTAAAGACTCCATCCTGCAGAAGGGCTCATTTTGTAGGTGGAATTTCAAGGAGTGACCATATTTTTTTTTTTAATTTGAATACCTCTAGCCCATCACAGAGAAATTTACAAAATAAGAATTTGTTTATGATTTACAGTACTATAAATTCAATTTTTCAAACAACAAAAATATTATTACAATAGGGCCATCCTTCTAGATTAAAACAAAAAAAAAAAAAAAAAAAAAAAAAAAAAAAAAAAAAAAAATGAAATAAAGAAAAATAATACCATCAAGCAGAGATTAAAATTCTTTTTGAATGAAATTTAGAATGGGTCAGTATTAGAGGTGTTTTAGAAGAATCCTGGTGTTGCACATTTCAGACTATGGTATCATATATTATATTTTTATATTAAATTAAATTCACTTTAAGGCTTTAAGGGTTTACACATGTCAGACAGTTTCAAAAAATCGATTTTTCTTTAAATTTTCTAAAAGTTTCATGTGTGTAGAATGTCTTGTCAAAGCGATATTTTAAAATTCGAAGTTTTGACGAAGTTATGGCAATGGATACGGAAACGGATTGTATCATGCGGAAGGCCTCGCAGATCAGGTGAAACGGACATATTGTATTAGAGCAATATTTTGTTGCTTACGAATGTGTCATTTAAGGTTTTCTTATCACATGTGATGTGATAAAAAAAGAAATAAGGAAAAACTAACAGATAAGTTGATAAATGAATTGACGATATATTAGGTTTGTTTTGCGGAACGAAAACTGTTGACATTGTTGACAGCTTAAGGAGGGAAATAATATTTTAAAAATGATGCAAACGATGCATTTTTTAAAATAATGGACGAACAACGAATAAGAAACTGTGAAAAAAAGGCGGAAGAGAAGAGTAAAAGAACATGAAAATCACTTAAAAAAACAAAGTAGGACACTGCCGACAGTTCTTCTTATGCCTATGGAAGGATTGTTATATGAACTTGGAATAGCAGATTAAAGATAAAATATAAAAAACCTTGACGTATCAGAAAAGAATTTTATCTTAAAACTTCTTTTACGTTTTCCTCGAAGCTGTTTTTTAAACTGGCCGACACAAAATCTTCGGAAGTACATATCCGATTTCGTTCAAATTTTGAGGGAATATTCTCTATAAAGAAAAAATTTTTTCGATATCTCTATTATTTAATTTTTTAGAACCGTTTAAAGTTGATGAGTTTTAGTAAAAAGAGATTTGTCCTCTTTAAAGTGTCGCCATTTCTATAATTATTAAAATCCTACGCTATATTGTAGGTAATACATTTTTATTTATAAATTAATAAGAATTTTAATTTGGACATTCCAGTCCTTGGCGGCGATGGCGGCCAACTATCAATGTTCCAACATACGCGGCTTCAGAGTTAGCAAATAACTTCGCCATTTTGTAGCATTTTTGATTCGAAAAAATTTGAAAATAGAAGCGGAAGTAAGGCGGAAGTTATATATTTGTCCACCAAAAAAACTGAAACTTTTCACTCAATAATTACCTATAAAAAAATTTCCAAAGAAAGCGATTTTTTGAAATCATCTGACAGGTGTACCCCCTTAAACTCACCATAAAGGGGTCCATTATATTATAACCTATCCTTACTTATCATGGAAATCAACACTTAATAATTTTAATTACATGTTTTATTTAAATAAGAAAATTAATTAAATTGAAAAAAAGTGTTTAGATTTAAATATCTTTCATATATAGTCTTAATATTGTAAAAGCATACTTCATCATTAAATCAACATTTTTATCAGCATTATTTGATCTAATTTGCTACTTAAACTATATAAAATGTAATAAATATCTTACTGAGGCCTCCAATATCTTGATCATGATCCCATACATGGCTGACTGCTCTTCCAGTAAGCATCAAGTTTATAAGACTTTGATTTCCATAACCATATGTAGAATCAATCATTGATTCCAAAGGATCCGACATTTCAGAACGGATTTCAGTGACACCTTTTGTAACAATTACGCTATAAAGAAGCAATAAAACGCCATATCGATCTTTTAACATCTCCAATCGTTCTGAAAAGAATTCTTCTACATGCTCAGATGTATTGGTTATGAATAACCTGAAAAACAGTATTTCTTGTTAGAACAAATTTCAGATGATATAGTTATGTGCTTATCTTGTATGAATAAATTTATGCAGAAAATGTTTAGTATCTTCACTTTTACAAATGAGAATATTATTTATAATTAATACAAGATAACACAAGGTGAGCAAGCTGATGCAAGGTCACCCATTCTGTATACAGTAGACTCCCTCTTATCCAGTCACGCTTTAATCGGTCTCCGCTTTAACCGGCCACATTTACGTTAGGAGTTCCAAGAGGAAAACAATTGACATATTCCGTGTTACGTATGTACTGTAACTCATTCGTGGTTCGTAGCATTTATCATGAAGGGAACTTCAATCGAACGAATGAGTACATTCTTCGGACTTAATTTTGAAATAAAATAAAAGAAAAAAGCTAAAAGTGTAAAGAGTTTAACTGAAGAGTTTTGTTTTTGTAGTCGAATATTGTAATCTAATCTTTTTTATCACTTTTTAAGGTTTTATCCGTAACTTAATATTCTGTCATGTAACGTGGCAAAAGATTCTAGAAACGAATATTGTACATTGTAATGATCCTATAATTTTTTAACTATTTTTGGTTGAGTTCACATAAACATATAATATACAGTGTGCCCGTTTTATCTGTAAATATGTAAATATCTCGAAAACTATGGATGATACAGAAAAATGTTTCAAACAAATGTTGTACGATATCAAGGGAGACATATGATACCGATATTTATTTTATCTTGCAATGACCACGAAAGGCCCTGTAAAGGTCACGTTTATATTTTTAAATAAGAACTATATTTTTTTATTGCATATACTTGCAGCCGACATCGAATCGTTTTCAAAACATTACCAACTTATATCTTTCGTATAAACTACGGCTGCACTATAGTATTTACACCCACGCCTATTGGGTTGTATGATACATCGTTGGAAAACGTATAAGTAGAGGAGTCTAACATGGGTGACCATTGCTACCGCAAATGTTCCATTCAGAAAATATGGATTAAAATGTGTAAATCTGACAAACCTAATTTAATAACGTAATCTTATGCACACCAATACTACAGTAATATTTCGAGCACATGATTAGTTGTATAAAGTCTCAATTCACGCCTAAATACACGTAATGACAAATGTACTTGTAAGTAAAATGATCTTTTTGCAAAAAGAATGTATTTTCTTCACCGTATTACTTATACTTATCCGTATCCTTCACTTATATGTTCCGAATGGAACATTTGCGGTAGTAATGACCATCCATGTTGGACTCTTCTGCTCGTACGCTTTTCAACGATGTAAACAATAGGCGTGGAACCAAATACAGTAAATTCTCCACAAGTGTCAGTCCGCAAGGAAGCTAAACCTGACACTTGTAGAGTCAGGGACTACGTTTTCGAGCCTCGCACCCGCCTTTGTAGTTTGCCGAACGTAGACAAGGACGGCGAATAAAAGATAAGGATGAAATGTGAGTCGAGGTAACCAAGCGATTTATATACTAACTTTTTTAATTTTACGTTTTTCTATCCCGAAATTTTTCTTAACATATTGATGAGATTTTTCTGATGAATATGACATCAAACATGACATAATTTGAACACCATTTACTTATTAACACGTTCACTGTCTGGCGTGACAGTGAATAAGTAAATGTTGTTCAAATTATGTCGTGTTTGATATCATTTTCATCAGAAAAATCTCACCAACATGTTAAAAAAAATTTCAGATGAAAAAAAGTAAAATTAAAGAAATTATATTTTTCTATTATGAATTGTCGAGCCGTGAAATCTCGTAAAAGAAACCGAGTGGTGTACTGACTGACAGCGAGCGAGATAACATAGGCGCAGCAATGACGCAGACTTAGGCGTAGGACCCATCTATACTGACATTTGTAGAATCCAAAATGACTGACACTTGTGGAGAATTTACTGTACTATAGTACTACTTAAACTACTGCAGCAACCCTCCTATGCTATGCCACCAGAGGGACGGACTAACCACAAGTTCTCGCTAGTCCTCATAAAGGCTCCCGTTTGTATATGTATCTATATATAACTTCTGACCTCAGTCTTTTCAGTGCTAAGACACGGGCCTTCCAGGAAGCCTTACTGTGACGAGTCTATTAGGAAGGTCCAGAACAGAAACAACTCCCTCAACCTTTACTTTTCCGCCGATCCTTCTAACAGTTTCTTTCATCTCTTCATTACTATTGAGACATTAAGTTTCAGAATTTGATATGCCGGTGGCATTAGCGTTTCCTGATGTGCGTAAGTAACTTGCACAGCGTAGTGCTATTGCGTTGTGCGCGTCGTGGTTCCGAATAATGAATTCTTGATTGCACAGTTACCCGTTAAATTAATCTTAGGTAAATAAGTTTATGCGAAAGATACTACAAGTTAGTAGCGCTTTGAAAACGTTTCGATGTTGGCTACAAGGAATATGCAATAAAGCAATATGTTCCGATTCAAAAAATATAAATGTGACTTTTACAGGGCTTTTCCACGTCATTGCAAGGTAAAATAAATATCGATATCATATGTCCCCCTTGTCATTGTACAACATTTGTTTGAAACATTTTTCCGTATGACTCATAGTTTTCGAGATATTACATACATATTTCCAGATAAACCGGACACGCTGTATGATAATATAGTACCTTTTATATGTAAATGATATAAATAATATTTGGTATATATTTCTGGATTTACCGGCCATTCGTTTATACGGCCAGAGGTCCGATCCTGTAGGAACCGGTTAAAAGTGAGTCTACTATACTTGTTGATATCGAATTAGTAATAATGCTTTGCTTTTTGGCTTCGGTAGATTTTTTATCATGATTGTATATGGATTTGCAAACGATTGTTTGGAACACTTACAGATACTCATAAATTGCGTTCATAGTCACGATAATGCTAACAAATATTGTCTATTTTGTTTTTTTTGCAGAACGTTACACAAAGTCTTTTTTGTTTGAGAAAACCAAACTAAATTCTGGGCTCTTTTAACTGTTTCTATTTCTACATATGGATTTACAATGCATCAATTGCCATTAAGAGAATATAATGAAATGCATTATAAGAAATATAAAATACTAAAGTGAAACGAATGACTCTAAAAAATTACAGAATTTTATTTTACCCATATTGTTAACTCAAGTGCACAGTCTAAACAAATAAAAATAGTATATTTGTACACAATATATTGTACAGTACAAGTGATGAACAAACATACTTGCCGCCATCAACTTTCAACATTAATAACTAATCAGACAAAAACATGTTATCTAAAAGTTAATATAATACTAGAACAAATAACTCCAAAAACAAATATATGTACTTTTAAATTACTTGTCAATGTTATGTAAAAGATACGAATTATTATCATTGTTCACAACAATTTTCCTTACCTCAATTGAGAATGGAAAAAATCAGAATCAATGCTTTTGCATTCGTGATTCACTTCCGAAAGTAATGTTTCTTTACTCTTTTCCTGATCCCCATTATCTTCTGCGCTTATCTCTTCTTCGCGATTTGCCTCTTCTGATACGCTTTCCTTCCATTTTTTTCTATTTTCTTCATTCGATAATTTACAATCCATAAACACAATACAGAACTTCGAAACTTTCTCCCCTGCAGCTTGCTTTAAAATTTCTATTGAAGCTCGTACTAATAGCTGGTAACATGTATCCAAATTTATACTTTTCCATGTTGAAATGTCGATTTCAGAAAGTAATTCTTTTAAGATAAAAGCTTGAACAGGAGCTATTACTGCACACGGACCACCTTCTGCTTGTATCAACGCTGTAGGTTCATCTGGGCTGAAATAGAACCCTAACGAAAGGAAAACAAAACATGAAATAATGATGCTGTGTTAATTTAAAGGAGATATGAACAGAAAAACAAAACAGTTTAGAAGGAAAGTGACCATGTAAGGAGCCCCTCCACTGTATAGCATTGCTTAAATGTTTGTAATGCCGAGTCCACACTGGTCAGAACTGTTCGCGCGAACAGAAGCAGCATCGCATCCACACTGTTGCTCGCTAATGAGTCCACTACTCACGAAAATGTCTACACTGCCGGTGAACATGATGGTTCGCGATCTGTTCGTGAACTGTTCGCGAACACCAGTGTGGACCTGGCATAACATTGTAAGCACTTTTACATAGTATGACCGGTTTATCTCGGAACACGGAAGTATCTTGAAAACTACGAATGATACAAAAAATATTTCAGATGAAAGTTGTAGGGTATAGAGGGCGACATATTGTTCTGGTATTCTTTTAACCTTGCAATGATCTTGAAAAGCTCTGTAAAGGTCATGTATAGGTTTTTAAATGGGAATGTATATATTTGATTATGTATTCCTATAGCTGACATCGACACGTTTCCAAAACACTGCATACTTATGGTTTTTGCGTAAATTATTATTGAGATATCAGCTTCCAAGTTTTACATGCCGCCGGCATTAGCGTTACCCGATGTACACTGCGGGAACAGATAAAGATGTTTTTCATAATGCTACTATGTACTGGTATGGCATTGCCGGAATATAAAGTTGTAGTTTTCCAATGTTTCCATAACATTGTCCGACCGAGTAATCTCCCCGTGTTGTACATCGGGTAACGCTAATGCTGACGACATGTAAAACTTGGAAGCTGATATCTCCATAATAATTTACGTAAAAACAACAAATATGCAGTGTTTTGAAAACGTTTCGACGTCAGTTATAAGAATACATAATTAAAAATATATGTTTTCATTAAAAACTTAAACATTACCTTAACAGAGCTTTCCATCGTTATTGCTAGGTTAGAAAAATACCAGAACAATGTGTCGCCCTCTATACCCTACAACTTTCATTCGAAATACTTTTTGTATCATTCGTAATTTTCGAGATACTTCCGTGTTCTGAGATAAACCGGACATACTTTATAATGTTCTTAGTGTTTCGGAAAAAACTGAATAGCAATAGGCAGTAAGGAAAAATATTATTCATCATGTTTATGTAATATCAAGTTATAAAACTTTTTATACTGTGGTCCAATACAAAATTAAATAATTTATATGCAAAATTATGGTATGTAGTAGCACTTGACATGCATATAACTGTTGAAGAAATTTATTTTCTTCTTTTTCTATTTTCTGTTAGTGTGAAGGTTCTAGAGTATTCTGCTAAAAGAATTTTTGAGAAATTCCAAATAAAATTACACGGATTTGAAGTCAAGCGTGCAGGTAAATAAATGGCACGAAAAACTTTAAACGCGTTTTTCCCGAAACTACGTTTTTCAAACTGGTTGACATGATTTCTTTCTATGTCTTACAACAAATTGAACTATTAAAATTTTGTTTAAAATGAAATATTTCTTTTAATTTTCTTTTATTTTCGATTTTAAATCAATGATTAATTGAAAATAGTAATTATTTTTATTTTTGATAATTACAACGAACATAATCTTGTCAACCGTGAAGGAGGAATTTTTGGAAGTGACCATACATTAATGCATCTATTTCAGTAAATATTTCTTATTGTTTAATGTAACAACGTGAAAAAAAATGATGTAGATTTGTTAGTGTAGAAGAAAAAAATTCATAAAACTGCCCATTTTTCATACATTTTCGAACGAATAACGTTACAATAAACTGATATTTTTACAGATGAAAATAATAGGTTTTTTACATATTTAGTATAACTTTACAATCTGAGCAGTTTTAATGATTATTAATATTTACTTCATTTGAATATGTGTTTTTATCATGTTTATATGACCTTTTTACTTTCATTTTCTTCAATTACCATTTTCTGGGAGGCAATAATAAGTATGTTCCAGATATATATATTTATTAATATTAAATAACCTGCTTGATATAAATAAATAATCAGATAAAATGTACATAAAAAAGAATAAATTAGTACAGAATCTGTAAATATCAATTTCAATACAAAGTGCATATATGGAATCATTTTTCATGTTATATTAAGCAATTTAATTTATTTATATTTATAGACATTTCAAATATTAATAGAAATTTTAATAATAAAATTAGTATATTAAAGTATATTAAATGTCTTATTCTAAATGTCCTAATTATATAAGCACCAAAAATATTTTGTCTTTTATGCAGGTTGTTCCAGTTTTCTTCCAGCCAAACTTTGTCAGTATATTCTATGGGTGCACATAAAAAACATGTTATATAAACATAGGCCGTTTGAAGCTCTAATTAAAAAGTTATAACAAAAATATAAAATATGAAGAGTATAGCACTGGACTTGTGATTACAACTATATAAAGTAAAAATAGATCAATAATATTTAAATCTAACTTGTTTATTCAAGCTGTACTTACTATCAGAGGTTGTTAAAGGTGTTGAATGTAACATCTGCCAGTGCCATTCTTGTATAACAATAACTACAAGTTCATTACTATTCCCTTCGTATTTCATATTTCTGTTATAATTTTTAATAAAACTTCAAACAACTTATGTTTATATAACATTTTTTCTTTACACTAAAACACTAGAACACCCTGTATATGGTATTAAAGCACTTTGATTTGATTTTTTTGTTCTACAGGTTATTGTTATTATTACTATAATCACCAACTAGTATTACTATTGTTACATTATACAAACAATGATTACTTCAGATTCATTATTTTTAAATGTTTATAACATTTTTGTTATTATTACAAATTTGAAGTGTCAAAACTTCAATTAAAGAGTTCATATACAGAACATATTTTGCATCAAGTATTGTATACATCAAATTAAAATTAGGTAATATTCAAATTGATGTTTAAATGTATGTCTAAAGCAATTATCTGAGTAAATTCTATTTAGCAGTATATTTAATCTACATAAATTATTTTATTTATTCAGATAATTCATTACAGCATAGATTTGTAAGAATGCATTTAGATGCAACATCTGAAAATTAATTGTAAAAGTCAAGTCTAAAAAAATCGACATGTTTGTGTAAAACTAATCACTTATTAATTTATAATGTGTTCAAGAAAGTTGAAAACAAATTACTATAGCCTATTAACAATAGAAATGAAACGAAAGAAATGAAAAAAGTATATGGAACATATATAATAATTTAAAAAATTTAAGGGTTTCTTGTTTGTTAAACAAAATTTTATAATGCTAAACAGTTTCATAATTGTAATATATCTTTATTTTATAAAAAAATGAAGTATTAATATTATTATCATATTACGCATATATAAAAGTATGTAATAATGCTTTAATGACTTTATAGTATAACAAATATTTAACAATTTCTCTTTTTGCAATAGTAGTTTGTTAGTCTGAAAATTGATGATAAACATTTTCAAATATTTTTGTCATATTATGAATTGTTATAAATGCAAAAATTTTCTTTAGTAAATATACCTTGTCATAGTATCTTACGTTGATGGTACATATTTACATTTCATAACATGATTTTCAAAAATTGAAAATTATAGTAGAAAATAATTTAAGCATTGATATCATGTAATATTAAACAAGCATTGGATTAGTAATGGTTTAAAAACTCTAAAGACATAGTTCACTTATAAATTAGAATAAATGCTAAAAGAATACCAATTATTTATTCAAAAAATATATTATAGTTAATTGTATTGATTAAGATATTATCAATGAACATGCTTACTTTCTACACAAATTTACAATTACATTTACTATGGAATTAGTGAAAGTTATACTTTAGGAAGATTCTTGTTTAATATATTATTAGAAATAAACAAATTAATAAAGAAACCAATACAAATTTACAAGCTACCAAATTAAGTATTTGATATATTAATACATATTTACCATATTAATTACTACCAAAAATATTAAGCATAAAAAATGTATAAATCTGGCTATATTAAAACATGGTGAAGATGTATTTAGACGTTTTAAAGAATATAAAATATACAATATACTGATTCAGTATTATTTAAATATATTTTTTATAAGCAAGTATCATATTAAATAATAAATTTTCGTACCGTCTATCTTTTTATTAATAATAATTGAAATTAATTTAATCGATAAGTAATCAATTATCGTTGCTGTGACTTCGAAATAATAAAGATTTAGTTAAATTTAGATAATACAAAATTAATTATAAAATATTGAAAAATAAAGAAATATTAGCATACCTTGAGCCCACCGTTTAAAAACATCTTGTTTTATAGTATTACCCCAGAGTAGTGTTTTGATGGAATGTACAAACTCGTTATCGCACTGAATAACATTTTCAGCCATTATCCACGTTTTCTTTGATTAGCAGAACATTAACACGCGTCGCACAGACACGAATTATTTCCACGTAATCATAATATTCTTTTGTAATTCCGACGAATTGGATTATTTTATTATTTTTTTAAACAATTAGACTTGTATTGTATAACCTATTTCATCAATGAAACAATCACCCAGTACTTCGCCATTTTGAATTTAGCATAGCTAATGAAGATTCGAGATGGGTGAAACCTACTTCTCACATTTAATAGTGGGACCTCATATCTACGATAAACCTGTTTTGTATTACCGCTTAAATCGTATTGTTGCGTGGCTAATTGGGAATTTTGAATAGAATTGTTACGTTGGTTGTTATTCAGGTTGTTACTCTGCTCGTAGTTATGCAGTTATATTTAAAATAAATAAGAAAATCTAAATGTTAATTAAGAATTATTTAAGAAATTTTAATGTTTTTACAATTTTCTTTTATTTCAAAAATATCGCATCTATATTGTTTGAACGGAGAGAAAGGAATGAATGTTCAAACATTGTCGATATTAATTATTCCATGTTAACATGTTTTTGATAAATAATAAACTGTAATTAAATTAATAATTCTATATCAAATTATTTAAGGATCAATTTTATTAGTATCTCGTATTTATTTATAAATATAAATTTCTTTTAAAGCGAGTGTTTTACACCTCAACAATGCTTTTTGTGCAGTTACGACAATAAGCAGTTGCAAATAGTAGTCAACGACAATTTACAATATATATTATCGAGTTTCTTTGTTCATTGCGTCGGCTATACCGTTATATAATTTAAATTTGGCGCGTTTAGGATGTACACTACGAGGAGCCACATAACACCTCTCTTACACCACAAAGATATTTCCTATGGAAATAGCCGTTCCAAACTCTAATAATGTGAATATGTACATACATCTAAGTACTTATAATCTAAGCTAAGAATGTAATATTCATTTACGACACGTAAAAACAATTAAAAGTCTATAAACTATTCTAATTAAATAATATAATATTAACAAGAATTTTAAACAGAGTCTAAGCTTATACAGGGTGTTTCGATATGGGTAGTACAATTTGGTATGGGTGCATTCCTTATGAAAAAATAAATTTAAAATATAGATTAACGAATTTTGTTTAAGTTTGAAAATTCTTCGCATACGCGAAGATCATCGGACCTCACTCCATTGGATTTTTTTTTATTGAGTCGCATTAAAGAACTTGTGTATGTGAAGTATAGTATGCTGAAGATCTTTTGACAACAATAGAATATGCGCATGAGATGAATCATCTACTAATAAACAATTACTTTACTTTCTTATTTGTAATTTCATAGTTACGTTTAATTTCAATTCCAACCATTACTAATGTTGTAATCTTGTTCTATACTGAATCGGTAACGTTGGTAGCGACACGAAAATGGCAAAGGTCTTTCAGACACAAAGCCCATAAGACGTTAGGTCTATCCTGTATCTGTTTTTTTTAAATTTTATTTCCAATTATAGCTGCGTTTTGCTGATTTGGTATTAGAAACTATTTGTACATTATGGTGCATTCATACATTTCCACTCTCACGAATCCACACTGTTCACACTCGCACGGTATATCACAACGTAATGACGTATAACGACATTATACTATATATAGTAGTGGTGGAGAAATATCGATAGTCGACACTATCGATAGTTTTCGACAACTGGACCATCGACAGTTATCGATAGTTATTGTCGGTTATTGAAAGTGATGGTATACAGTACATTTTGAATGTTACACGCTATTATTCTGTGTTAAGAATAAAATACATGTGTGTATTTCTATTTAAAAATACTAATATATTTACATTTTCTGGGTTTTGTCTGGGTCTACATTCGGTTATAATTTGCCCTGCAGCACTAAATTTCCTGTCATCGTTTGTAACATACCAAGTGGCTTTTCTTATGAGTCGTAGGATTGTTGCTTGCTCAGTTTTTATTTTCTTATTGTTAGTTTTTGACGCTGTTGTCCATAGTGGTATTCTCTCCTTATTAACCAATAACAGGTTTTTGTTATTTGTTGCATTTTCTTTTTGATTTCTTTTATGTGCTTACTCCAAGTAAGGTTTCTATCCAGTATCAATCCTAGATATTTCACTTTCTTCAGAGTAGTAGTGATATGAGTGAATTTTGTAGTAGTTTTTTTAGTTTTATTAGTTTCCTGTAGTAGGCATAGGTCTATATCATTACAGGTTAGAAATTCTTGTAGCCTAATGGCTCTTCGTTGTGGTTCATTGTAGTTCCACATCATGACTTTCATAAGAGATTTCTTTCAATTAAGGTGACTAACTTGGCTACAATATTCATTATCTTTACTGACTGTTGTATTTGTTGGTCTATTGATTTGATCTTCATTTCTTTGTGTTTTATGGTTTGCAGTTGCTTGTGCATAAGTTAAATTTTCTGTAGTGTATCTTGGTATTTTTCTGGCTTGTTGGTTCTCTGACATATTTATTGATATTTCCTGTCTATTCTGTTGGTTTCACTTTAGTCCTTCTGTCTTCATTATGTTTCTGTGCCTTATCTTAGGGAATAACTTTTCTTGTATATCTTTTTTAATCTTGCACCCTTTGTAATTAGCTGAGTGTTTTGCATTACAGTTAATGTAAATTATATTACTCTATATTTTTGCTTTTTGGGTAAAGGTGTGAGAGGTGTGATTGAGCACATTTGACACATATCGCGTCTCTATTACAGTAGTTTTTGGTATACCCAAGTTTGGGACAATTGGCATTGTTTTTGACATTGTGGTATATCTCTCATGTTTCTCTATTGTTCAATTTGAACTATAGTATATGCAAGTTTCTCAACTTGAAATATATCTTTGTTGTTTTTCTTTGGCATTAATTCAATTGTATGTATGGGTAATGGATTACCACTATATGAAATTCTTTAAGTTTATGATGTTAAGTACATCATATTTAAGGTTTTCTAGTTCTTTTCTGATAATATCATGAAGTATGGAGTGGTGTAAGTCTCTAATTACGACTCAAGGTCAAATGCTTTGCAAAGAAAAATGGTTTGCTACTTAGGGACTTGGAGATGGGCTTCCATTTTCATTTCATGGTAGGTAGAGGAAGAAGGGGGCGTGAAGTTACTGTCTTCCGATTCATTTGCGTCTAGAGATAGACCAGCTTCAGAGGAGCCAGGAAGACAGGAAAGATCTAGCCTTACCTTTTTCCTTTTTTCCATATTGGAAATTAGACTTGTGAATGTTTTATTTTTACCAAAACCTTGAAATGCTTTTGATATTCCTTTTGTTTTTTAAAGTTTTCCTTCTATGATAGGTAAATTGCTGTTGCAATTAACTCCAAGGATAATTGACACATCCATTGATCCGTACCATTCTTCTACCAGTTCATTTTGCAAATCTGTTTTGTTAGTAATTGAATGTTTTCTTATTTTATTGTCAAGTCTATCCCACACCATCTCGATCAGATTTAAGTCCGGTGACTGAGGTGGTGTATTTATAACTTTTAAGCAATTATACAATAACCATTCTTGAATGATTTTTGATTTATGTTTGGGGTCATTATCTTGATAAAACTGAAACATATTCAAAATTTCCATTTTTTCAGCAGTCTCTTTTAAATTATTTTTTAATATGTCTAAATATATCATTTTATTTATAATTTCAGTAATAAATACTAATTTTTCAGTACCATAATAATTAATGCAACCCCAAACCACAACACTGCCGCTTTAACTTATTCCTTCAATCTTTCACAGCAAACTGCTTTTGTGATACAAACGCACGCACTGTTCATCTGTATAAAGAAATAAACGATTGTCGATCGTAGAACTGTTGATCCTATTGATCCTATTGAATTCGAGTTGTAGAGGTAAAATACATACATATTAAACATGTGACAACTAATTCGAGTTAAAGGGAAGTTTTATTTCGAGTTGTAGAGTTTTTACAACGGAGCGAAAGGGAATGAAGAAAATTTTCGTCTTGTAGAGGTTCCACAGTATTTACGCGTTTCTAGATAAAACGAACATACTGTATGTCCTGATGTGGGCTTTTCGACGTGTCAGGCAACGGCAAACCAATGCATGGATGTGCTTTTGTTTCTTTACAGGCCAGTCGTGCTCTAACTACCGCGGAGAAGTCAATTACCAAAAAGGAAGCGTAATGTTGAAAACCGAACTGCAACAGAGAAGTACTTGGACTTTTGTATAATACATTCATCTTGTATCGGTAAGTAATTATTTATTTATTTGCTATATGTATAACCAGGCTTCACGAACTCCATGTGGAAGACCTAACAAGATTCTTTCAAATTGTCAATAAGATAATGAACAAGAGTGGCTGAATTCGTCGAAATCCTGGCCAAAAGTCAGGTAAATTCAAGTCAAGTAATCAAAAAAGTCAAGTAATTTATCGTACTAAATTGTCATAATATGACTTTAAAATGTTAATGTACTTATTTAACGTTAAATATTGGGTATAAAAGTATAAAATACTTCTTATTTTAGTTGTCCCTTAATATTTATTAAGTTGTCGTTGAATACATGAAAATTAATGTGTTCTGCCTGTTTCGTATTTCTAATTCTATGTTGTAAATGTACAACCTATTAAATAAACAGGGCTATTTAGGTATAAAATTAGGCACACTAGTCAAACAAAACACGATATTCCGATTCTATGCCATTCAGGTGCCACCGCATACTCGGTGCAGACGGCAAAGAAATAACGATAACTCAAAATATCGCAAAATATCGTAAAAAAGGGCAACGTGCCCTTCTTCAGGAACCTTCAAAGATCATGTTAAAACAAGAATGGCCGCTTGATCTCGCTTGATTCATAACTATATACATAAATCTTTATTTTCGGCTCCACAGCCAAGAAATGTGGACTTGGTTTACATTTGCTTCTCTTATTTCATTCATTCTTCCCGCTCATTCATTCATTCTTTTTTCTTTTAACTAATTTAACTAATTTAATTTAATTTAATTTCAGCCTTAATCTTTGGTTTTGTTCTTTTCTATTGCCTGTTTTTTTCTCTCTATTTGTCGTTCTATCTTTATCGTACTCAACCACTTTTCTGCCTTCTCATCTTTTCTTCCACTCAACACCTCCTCTATGCTAATCTCACTATTCACTTTCCTACACTCTCTCGTGAGGTGCTCC